TTTTAAAACAGCACGAGACAATAAAAGTTTTTGCACATCCTTTACAATTGAAACACAGTTATGTTCATTGCACCGCACTGCGTGTGTGGAGAGATTCATCCAATACAGTGACGGCACAAAGGAGTATCCCTCTAATTCAAACACAACTATCACCAAACTGTCGAAATACGTTCTGCATCAACTGCCTGGTGTCAGCAAAACATGTAAGATGTGCAGCTCTGTCTTACGTGTGCTATATGCAGTTCTATCTGTTTAACAGCCATCGTTCAACTGTTACCATATGAGGAACTTCAATCATCTTTGTAATCAAGGGCAACCAGTAACATATTGTTCACTCAGCCTCAAGTTCAATTCAAGCTACTGATTTCACTGAAGTGTCGTTTCCATCGTTTAGCAATGTCTGTAATGGTCTCACCTAGCCTCCAATTCAGAACAAAATACACCTAAATTACTTCAAGTTTTGGAAACGGTGCACTGCCAATTGACCAAAGTTTCCGACAAGTTATGGCTTTCCAATCAGGATGTTGCACAATAAAGCGAACGACGTAACGGATCCCGGTGCAAAGAAGATAATATATTTGCCCACACATACAGGAAGTAAAATGTGCAATTATATAGCCCCTAATGAAGAGGCAGGGTATTCATGTCCAGGGAGAGATTGCTTTTGGCTACAAGTACTACATTACACCAGTTTACAAGACACATACACAACACCGAAACAAGACCGTTCTGTACATGATGTTCCACATTTCATGAACAAATAACTCTACGTAACTATTTCCTGGAAATAAGATACCGCGCAGCTACATAATTGTACAGAGCTCGCAAAAACACATGGAACTTTGAAAAATTGACAAAGCTGACATGCAAAATCAAGGAGATGACAAAACGCTGGCGCAAACTATCAGCGCGCAACATGCCAGGGCACATGTTATAACTTTTAAACATTGGGAGAGCGACGAAACACCCGCGCCAGGATACACGGCAAGCTCAAGCCGAAACTGAAACACGTCACTTTCCCTCGTCAGTCATACACTGGGTAACTAACAACATGTCCGTGACGATATGGTCGCTGTGTTTGTTGCTCAGGTGGCGGCGGCGGTCGTCATGTCCATGACGCCCACCATCTACGGCGCCACGCTCAGCTTCGCCGCCCACTTGCTGGCCGAGTCGCAGTCATCTGACGCCACCGCTCAGCTGACGCTGCGCGACGCCACCATGGTGGCGGCCATCTCTAACCTCGGCAGGATGTTCGGTACGGAGCCGCAAACTCTACCCTGGGTTAAATATCCATCACAGAGCTGCTACTTCCAACCTTGTCCCGCTGTCTCAAAGTGTCGCCTTGTGAAACCTGAGCCAGTTGGTGAGGAGAGATTCGCCATTATTTATCTGGACAGAACGACCAGTCAGAATACACAATATCAACCTGGACCGCATGTTAGCAATGAAACAAGACTCGGACCGGTTGCTCGGTAGGAATAGACATGTGTATTTTGTGTCAGATGTTCAGAATGGGGTCAAAAGCCGTTGCTCACAAAACGATGCACTCTGTTAGGCTGGCACATCCTTCATGGCAATAGACTGTAACTAAAAATTGACACAAAAGAAGCGTTTGTACAAAAAACCTTGATAAGTTACCAGGAAAACCATCGCACCGCAATAGCACTACCTGGGTGGCAGCTTGAGGACCAGACACAACAATTCACATTATTCGCTTTGGCATGAAAAGGAGTCCAGATACGCATACATCAGCAAACTTTATCAGAATGGCTGAGTGAACATGAAACCCAGTGGGAGCATTTGTGAAAACGCCGGCTAGACTGCATAGTTATAAAATTGAATATAATACACGCATTGCCATGATATGAGCATCAACCTGCGCAGGTGAGCCTGCATGCATGATATGATATGAGCATCAACCTGCATGATATGAGCATCAACCTGCGCAACCTGCGCATCAACCACTGGCGCAAATCCGTTACACAGATGGATAAATTTCCCAAAATGATGCCGCAGCACGAATGGCGCGTGGTCGTCCATCTAACTAACATCACGCTCCCCCCTCCCCTCCGAAGCGTGCGTAGCTTCTGCCTCGCTGACGGACAGGCTGGGCGTGCTGCGCGTGATCCAACTGAGCGTGCCGTTCAACCTGCTGCCTGGCCGCTGATGACGCTCGGGGGGCGAACATGATGATCGCCGGCGCCATGATAGCTGGCGGGATCGTCGGCCTCAGTGGCCTCACGGGACGGCTCTACATCGCTGAGGTAGGCGGACCTGAGAGGCTTCACGGAACGGCTCTACGTCGCCGAGGTACGCGGGACTGAGAGGCCTCACGGAACGGCTCTACATCGCAACAGCTGAACCGGACATAGCGCCATTCAGAAGTAAGCAGGCCTCACCGAAACAGTGCCACCTGAAATACACAATTTGAGTTTCGCAACTAGGTAGAGCTCTTAGCCTAGCAGACAATGTGGCATTGTGGCAATGTGGCAAATGTGGCATGTGACACTATGGCAATCGTGAAAAAACGCCACAACAATATCTTCAGCATAATGAAAGAATAATCAGAGGTTTTGCGTCGATCATTTCAGTTATGCTTAGTGTAGGAACCCAGAAATTTCCCCAATAGAAACATAATCACTGCAATATTGGTACAGGATATGCATAACCACCGTTGCTCACAAACGGGTGAATGCACCCTCACACTAAATGAGTGGAACCCCTTTAGGGAGCGGGAGGGGCAGGTCTACTGGCTGTTCACTCTACTCATCGTGCTCTTTTGGCGAAAGGTTTGTTCTCGGCGCGTGCTTTCAACACTGGCCCAGCGTCGGAAGATGGCTTTCTCCAGGTGCTCTTTCCGACCGCCGCCCGACCCACCCGGCCGCTGACGTCGCTCAGCGCTGAGGTCGCTGACGACGCTCAGCGCGAGCCGCAGCACTCCGCCGACACGTAGGACGCAGTGCTGGGCCCGGTGACTGGCTCCAACTCGAGGAAAACGGTGTCCATTGCTCTCTGTTAGAAAAGAAGCTTGCAGTATGCCGTAGAAAAGTCTGCTGACCGTATTTCGCGCGAGATCCTCTGAAAAACTTCTGCATAATGCGCTGGGGGGGGGGGGGGGGGGTGGAGGAAAAGGGCCCTTGGCGCATTCTATATCTGTACTCACTCAATGGCGAGTGGCAGAGACACAGGCATTCACTCAGTTATCAGAGATGGCAACCAATACCCCGATGAGGTGGCCCTGGAGACGGCCCAAGTCTACCTTTCTACAGTCAGCCAGGACATTGAGCACCTCCAGGTGAGTTCGCGGCACAACAGCCACTGAGCACCTCCAGGTGAGCTCGCGGTACAACTGCCACTGAGCACCTCCAGGTGAGTTCGCGGCACAACAGCCACTGAGCACCTCCAGGTGAGCTCGCGGCACAACAGCCACTGAGCACCTCCAGGTGAGTTCGCGGCACAACAGCTGTGAATGGGCACCCGATGAGCGTGCCGAATGTAAGACAGTGCTGCAAGGTTCACTGAGTGGAAGATTCCCGGGCTTCGCCACCGTCGAGCCGCTGCCAGAACACCTGAACGCCAACGACTTAGATCACCTCGGTCATCCTCCCGGCGCAGCGAAGCGCGTGTCTCATTGGGAGACCCCCACCAAGCGCGACCGACCACCATTGTCCAGGGCAGTCTTCTCGCCGATGACCCTTGCTGACGTGACACGGGAAGCGAGGCGTCAGGTTCGTCCTTGCACCTCGAGCAGCGGCCTCGTGAGGTCCTCTTCGGAGAATGGCGCAGAGTCGATGGAGGCGGAGGAGTTGCAAGCGCAGCATCGCAGCAAGGGGGTACGTGGGCCTGAACGGCATGCCGGTAACGGTCCCATGTCAGGGAGGGTACGTGGGCCTGAACGGCATGCCGGCAAGGTCCATGTCAGGGGGGGTACGTGGGCGTGAACGGCATGCCGGCACGGTCCCCACTCAGGGGTACGTGGGCATGAACGGCATGCCGGTAAGGTCCATGTCAGCGACGTGCGTGGGGCCCAAGAGCCTCCTACGACTCCACAATCGGAGGGATAGGCGCCGGGTGGTCCTAACGCCATCTCCGGCGGAGAACTAGAGAATGGACGGTCACGCCTTCCCGGAGAGGGACGCGGCAGGAGAGCCGCCAAATAACAGCGGACGAAGCCCATGGACTGTCGTTCGCTGGTCGGTCTTCGTAGAGCGGGACAGAGGGGGGGGGGGGGGGGGGGGAGGGGGGGGGGGGGGGCGCAGGTGGGGCTGTTGGGAGTCACGGATGCCAAAAGCATGGCAAATGCCAAAGTGGGTCCAGCACTTCGTGTTAATTCCATCTTTTTTCGTTAACTTCGCGTTCAATCGTTTGAACGTTGCGAGTGATCCGTGGATTTGGAAGACAATAAATGCTCTCTAAGGGACTTCTTTCCCGGATCATTGAAGAGGCATACTGCAGAGGTACAGGCTTCGACTGCATAGCACGAAAGCACTCCCCTTTGGAGTGCTCATCTGTCACATTCTTCTTGTCAGATGACAAACCAATCCCTTCTCAGGTGACAACCAACCTGGTACCGCTCTACGCTCTGCTACCTACCAGGTGTGGCCATTGGATTCAGTCTTCTGGCTAACTTCTCCCATCGGGCGCCGTCATACCGTGGCGATACGCCTCTCTACTGTGCGGCTGCGTGCCTTCCGTGGTACAGATCATCGGAAACGATTCTGCTGCCCAGTTCACCCAGGTACCCAATCATGTTTACATCACACCCCTGGTCTTCCTCACGCCCTACGCATGATGTGAGTGGCATATGACAACAGTGCAGCAGCTCCATTCCTGTCATTGCGCATGTGTCCATTATCCGCTTTTGCCCAGATGCTGCACATCGCTCGCTACCCGAGTGGCGCCTCAGCCATTGGCGCTTACTAGTTTCGCTGGCCACCAACAGATGGCTCATGCATCGCGGCGCCAGCACCGACGTGGTCAACAAGGCGATCCTCTTCTACCGAGGCAAGAAGGCAGACGTCATACAAGAGGTCAAGGATATCCAGCTGTCTCTTAGAGGCAGACCCAACATTAGCATTCGGCGGCAGGTGGGGCTTCGGAATATGCATGCAGATACATTGTTGATGCATATGAAAATTGCGAGTGTGAGGTACGACACAAGAGGCGAGTGGCAAGGTTGTGGGTTTAAACGATGATATGCGTCAAAGACTCGTCTCAAGAAAGGGCTCGTGCGGGGAGCTTTGGGGAGCAGGGTAACAGCCAGCACAAAGGTGAAGGAAAAACTTACCACCTTTTTTGGAGCGTATGGTTTCAAAGCCGAGGCATGCAAGACTCTCGTTAGAACGATGAACAGATAATTGACGTTCTGGAGTGAGCCAGTTCAGTGCGACGTAAACCAAGACAGTGCCGCACTGTTTTGCACTGCAACCGACGGTGCCTGCTGATGCTTGTACCCCAATGACTTTGGAACAATCCCAGTAGGTACGAACGCCTACACCACTCGCTACTAAAAGCTCACGTAAACCCTTCCGGCATCGGAACAGACAACCTCGAAGACGCGCCCTGTTGCTCACGCCATGCTGAGCGCCATGTGAGCGTTGTTGGCCTCTGCTCAGGTCCATCTAATCTTCACCGACTGGGACGTCGCCAAGCCGTGCCTGCTCATGTTCGTCCAGTTCTTCTTCGAGACCTTCTGCGGCGGCGTGGTGCTCAACCAGTACGCGCTCTCCGTCTTCCAAATGGCAGCAATGTCACTGACCCCAAGCCAATGCGCGCAAGTGCTCGCCGTACTACAGGTGAGACATCCGAATGGTGACGTCACTGGGTATGGGCGAATCAGCGCGCTGCTGCGACGCGAGACCGTCTGGCTTCGAGTTTCGATTACCAAATGGAGTTCGTTTACCGGACAACTCCGCGGCACATACCCAAATCGCCTAGTCTAACCACTTGGGTACCTAGTACCCCTCCACACACCTCATTACCTTGTTTACTTGGGAAATAAAGTAGAACGCAAAATGGTTTAAGATGTGCCACTAAAATCCTTTCCGCTCCGGCTGGTTACATGGGGAATCCAGCCATGCTTCCGAGAGATGGGCCTCTGCTAACTGGAAACGACCCCCCCCCCCCCCCCTCATCAAACAGCCGTGGGCCTCGCGGTCCGTGGTGGTCGATCGATTGTGTTTTGATTGTGTTTGATTGTGTGATTGATTGATTGTGACTTCACACGGAGGGAGAGGGCCAACACATGTCGCGTCTGAAAGTTGATACACGTTCGCATATCGGATATGCGATTCTACCCGATTCAAACAACGTGAAAAACGCACACGACTACAAGGTGTAGTCAACGCAACGCTTCGAGTCGGCGGCAAATTCATAGTCATGGGTCGCCATGTAAACCAGGCACATATATATATATATATATATATATATATATACACATATATATATATATATATATATATATATATATATATACATACACATACATATTGTTCAGCTGACAATGATCTCCGGAGCCGGAGGAAAAGGGCCATCCGGCGATGTCATGCCTCGCCAGCACGACTGCTGTTACAGCGGCGATACCAGGACACGTGACCGGCCACCCAAGGTGAGCCCCGCGCGCGGGACGTCGCACAGACCAACACCGAGTCATAGCTCATTCCTTTGGCAAGTCAATCGACTATGTAATTAATTATCAATCAACATGTTCTCAAATATATCAATTATTCATATCAGGCTGTACAATTTGAAAAGGCCCGGCCGGTTTGTCGTCGGCAAATGCCGTGGTATTTGCTTCAGAGGGATATAGTCCATCGTTATCAGCCATCACTGCGTGATGTGTGATGTAAGGAACATGTGACAATTTCAGTCCCGAGATGTGCGTTAGCGAAGAAAGCCTCCTCAGGACCTTGACGGGGGTGACGGTCGCCTTGTATCCACCCATCACCTTCCTCACATAGTGAACAGCTACCGACGACCTTTCCGAACAAGGACCTAACGAGGACCTAAGGAGGACCTGGCGAGGACCTAAGGAGGGCCTTCCCGTGATCGAGCGTTCCCTGGCTATCACCAACTAAGAATGACAACATGTCCCAGATGACATGACAGATAAGAGTGCGCACGTGACAGCGACCCGCGCGCATGTGTGAGAGCCCAGTGAGAACGCTCGGCCTATGAGCACGATCTTCAGATCGTCGATACAAGCTTGACAACCCTTTATTGGCCCAAGCGGATGCTGTCAGGCCGCGGTCGTGTGGTGCATTCATGTTCCTTAATTGCGAGGTCGTAGATTTCGGCCTCCTAATAATCAGAATAGGCATTCTCGGAGATTATGCAGAATTAGCGGAGCCAAAAGCGCGGCTGTACATATATCGGATATACGAGTTGTTGAGTGACACAATGTAATTGCTCACCACGTTCATGAGGACTTACGTTCAGGTGGGATGCTTTCAGACATGTAGGCACTATTTCACATATTATAACCAGCATATATATGAACTTTTTAATGGTGTGCAAATAGCATATGTTACCAAATGCAACCCGCCGATTTCAACACCATAGTCACGACTAAGTATTGGGGACTTTTTAGGCTAAATCTACAAAATGTTTGAATGCGTACACAAGTTTTCCGAAAGATTTCGAACGAACTCCTCAAACATTTTAGTTGGAGGGTCTCTTTGTGACGCGGCTACCATTAGCCCTGCTGCGTCGACTGACGCCGCTCTTCCCCATCAGATGGCAGCCATCGGCGTGTCGGGCTTCCTGCTGCACTGGTGGGGACGGCGCGCCGTGCTCATCGGTTCGGCCGTGCTGACCGGCCTCGGGCAGCTGACCGCGGCAGCCTACTTCCATTTCGAGGCACGTCCTCGTGTGAACGTAACAGACGGGCTTGATGAATCATGATCAAGCGAATTCGGGTGTTGCTAGTCGCTGCGGGGAAATAACGATCGATGACCACGACACGAGTGCCATCGCAGACAAATCTAATGATAATTCTGCCATCCTCTGCAACGTTGGCGCTGATCCTCTTGATAGTTCTGTCTTCCCAAGCGACGCATTATGACTTTACTTCCCTCAGCGACACTGGTGAAGATCCTGTTGCCCAGGCGACGCTGGTTATGATTTGCATCGCAGGGTGACGCGAATCATGATCACTATTCCCAAAGTGAAACTGGTGATGACTTTGCTTAGCTTGGGCGACGCTGGTGATGGCCATGGCTTCCCGAGGCGACGCTGGTGATGGCCATGGCTTCCCCAGGCGGACACTGGCCATGACCCGGCTTCCCCAGGCGACACTGGCCATGACCCGGCTTCCCCAGGCGACACTGGCCATGACCCGGCTTCCCCAGGCGACACTGGCCATGACCCGGCTTCCCCAGGCGACACTGGCCATGACCCGGCTTCCCCAGACGACACTGGCCATGACCCGGCTTTCCCCAGGCGACACTGGCCATGACCCGGCTTCCCCAGGCGACACTGGCCATGACCCGGCTTCCCCAGACGACACTGGCCATGACCCGGATTCCGAGGCGACGTTGGTGACTACCGAGTGGTGACGCTCGGGGAACAGTAAAGCGGCCATTAGACAACGTGTGGCCCCCACACAATGCCGTGCCCTACACCAACCCTGTCACATGAACTGTCTGACCTTCGCCCTCAGGCAGCACTGAGCGCGCACACCTGGCTAGTGATGGTCGGCATCATCGTTGCAAACGCCGCCAGTATGGGCGGCATCTCCCAGCTCTCGCACCTGTATCTGGGCGAGACTCTCCCCGTCTCGGTGCGGCAGATGTACGGCAGCGCCATCTCTCTCTACATGGGCGCGCTCAGCATGGCCTTCATCCACCTGTTCCCGGTGCTCAAAGCGACCCTGAGTCTGTCGGGCCTGTTCGCCGCCTTGGCCGGCTGTGAACGTGCTGCAGGTGGTGTTTGCCCGCTGCCTGCTGCCCGAGACACGGGGGCTGACTCTGGAGCAGGTGCAGTTCAAACACTTCAGCACCAAGCGACGCGAAGAGGAGCCGGCAGAAGCGACGGCAGCGGCAGCCGCGGCGAAAGAGGCCCAAGAGCGGCCAGAGGAGGAGGTGGACGCGAACAAGGCGCGCCCGGACAGCGAGGAGGAGCAGCTCGAGAATGGCACGGTGGGATGCGAAACAAGCAAAGGGAAAGAGACAGACACCGATAGGACAACGCCTGACACCGAGGTGATAACGACTGACACAGAACGGGAGGCGCCTGACACCGAGGTGATAACGACTGACACCGAACGGACGGCGCCTGACACCGAGGTGATACCGACTGACACCGAACGGGCGGCGCCTGACACCAAGGTGGTAGCGCTTGACACTAAGATGGCGACGCTTGACACCAAGGTGGCAACGGCTGAAAACAGGCAGGCGGCGCCTGATACCGAGGTGATAACGGCTGACGACCGAGCGGGTGACGGTCCAGCCAGCGGCGTGAGCTGTTCAGATGGCGACCCTAGATGGCGACCTCGGATGGCGACATCAGATGGCGACCTCGGATGGCGAACTCGGATGGCGACATCGGACGGCGACAGTTGAGCATTAGCGCTAAACAGCTGCCCCGAAGCGCTCTGTAGCAGTTGCTCAGCCCTGGCGTAGAAGCTATGAGTGGAGCATCAGACTTGAGGCCGAATGAACAGTGGCAGAGCCGATACACATCCTCAAGAGCGTGAGACAGCCCAACAGCGATTCCAATGGGCCTCGCAAAACAGATAACAGGAATGCCCTAGAACTGTGCTAAAGATACTATCTTGTAGAACATGATCCTGTGAGTTAGATAAATATCTGCGGGAACAAAACGTCCGCCAATCTAGATTAACGAATGCTTAAAATTTAGCGAACAAAGTTGCACATTATTGTATGGAGTCCGAGAGGACGAATTTTGCATGAATGGTGTTTGCATGACATGTGAAAAGGTTTATCGAATGGTTCCATCGTTGACTCAAATGTGGCTGAATATATCCGTAGATTGACAATTTATGAGAAGTTTTTGAAACCCTGTAGGCTTAAGGTCACAACCGTCTCAGCAGGGGAAGCGAGACTAAGGGACGCCAGATAATACCCAAAGTTTCCAAACAACTACCAAACCATCAGGACAGTGCGGCATGCAAGGAAGTTGCTAAAATGAACTGAGGACGATGAAGGTCTTCAAAATGTCGTGTGGTCCCGTGCTTGCCATACAGTCGCATGGCACCACACATCCCACTAATATCGTTCCAACCGAAACGTACCGTGCGTGGTGATATGCTAATTTCTCTATCCTACTAAAAACTGAGTGATCGATTTCGGCGTCTATATACGACTTGAGTACGGCGTATTCGGCTGCTACAGTGTTCGCACTTCATCGAAAGAACTCGCTGCAAGCGGTTGTCTCGCCTGGACGCGCCGCCAGACCAAACATGGCGGCGCCTGCCATCTTCAGAGCTGCTCTGCATGACCTTGTCAGTCCCGATTAACGTAAGTTTCAAGGTTTTGTGAAGTCCATGAAATTAAGACACGAGCGCGCGAAAACAGGTGCCTGCTTCCATCTCAGGACTGCACCAAATTCATCCTTGACTGGGTTTCAATGACTGCAGCTACATTGGTGCATTACGGCAGTACGCACTATCCTAAGTTATGGACGCAAATGCTCATTGTACAACTAACATACGTCCATTTAGCGCGAAGACCTAAGAAGGCCGCACGTTACCTGTCAGCCCACAATGCGCTTATTACGACGTTCATCTGGTTGACACAGAACAGCAAGCAACGATCGGCCAATCCTTTTGATCCAAACACAGCGTGTTGCCATAATAATCGAGGCCATGGTCACAATGACGATGATTGTGAACGATCATCAACGCTACGAAACTTCATATCCGACAGAAAAGAAAAGCTTCGTTTGTGGAGCTGACCGAAAAAGAACAGGAGTAGATAATTCGCAAGTTTTGCCAATTTGGTCGCTACGTTGATAACATGATAATCATTATGACAGACCAGATTGAGCAGTGTGACAGATGACAGCCTGACATTCACAAACAATGTAGTACCCATGCATTTTCACTCTGCGAAATTAACCTCAGGATATACGAGCAACACACTAAAAAGGGTCCGCAATTCCGCCACGAGTCATGGCGGAAAGATACAGTGTAGCTTAACTATATCAGAGTTAAAAGATCACTGTCGTGATGTGGCCGTTCACGGGTGAAAGGACTGATCAGCTGTGACGATGAACCACGACCAGAACCCTCGGGGCCTTTCAATGCAACTGCACTTAGTTGTATCTCCAATGCCCGTACCTCTCAGGGGAAAACTAAGGGTAGTTGTGGGTGACGAACCCCCCAGGTGGACCACAAACATTCCTGCAGGATGTCCCCAAGGGCCAACGTTGAGGCATTGCCCTCGCTAATGTACTCAAGCTACCTTTAAGTGGTTTCTGCCAGCCCACACTCCTTTTCGGACAACACGGCACTTCACTTCAGATCAAAATGAACGAGAGCCAACATCACAGTTTCAGTCGGCTTTAGTCAAAGCCGCACCGCGTGGCGGGACGTAGGGACGGGGACCTTCGACGCAGAAAACAATGAACAAACACTGCAAAATAGCAACAAGCCAGGAGCTCGAACTACGATTTCGTCGCCTGCAAAACATCTGATATCAAAGTCAACAAACTCTGGTGAACCGTTCTCCTTAGACTTAGTTACACGGTTGCAAAACACTACGGTAAAGAAGTCCCTCCGCGATAATTACTTCGTCGGTTCAAAAGTAGACACTGTATGCACAAAGCTGGAATTGGGAACATCGCAACTGAACACTCACCTATTCAAAATTGGACTCAATAAGGGCTCTTACTGCAGCTGTGATTATTAATACGAGATATCAAGCCATTTGTGATTTGTCGACAAAATTTTGTCGGACTACGAGCCTCGCTTGTTCCTGGAGGGAAAAGTGTCATGCACGAATCTACCGCCCCTTCTAATGCCATATGATTAGATGTCTTCCTCACAGGTCATTCTCACATGAAACATCAATGCCACGTGTTGCCGCCATTTCCAGGCGCACGTAACCCGTACCAGACGGCTGCTCGGGCGGACGGCTCGGGCGAGGCGATGGCTCGCGTGCGCCTGGCGGCCATCGCTGGAACTATTCTTTTGGAGCGGGACGCGCGGGACGGCGCTGCTGTCGGTGGTGGCTGGGACGGCAGGGAGATATGCCAAGATGCCTGTGTGATGTTTGGAGCACAGTCTGTGTAAGTTGCGCTCCAGCCATCATCATGCCTGGATTTATATAATCGCTCCGTGGTTGATGTAAATAGATATAATTGTGGTGAGCGTTGCTATGTCAGGTTTGCTTGTCATTGCCTCAAGGTATACTGAACGTCGCTTACGCTCATTATCATTGCCAATTCATATTGTGTGAATGAAAGTTACATCTTGAGCCGAACACCAACAGCCAAGAATGCTCTAAAGCACATTAAAACCCCAGTGAGGACCGAATTGCAGCCACACGGGGTGGGCTGATGAAAATTACCGCAGGCAACATCACGGTAACACCAAAGCATCACGGTTTCAAAACGTCACTGGTGCCAATGTCGGGCGATAAACCACGCTCCCAAGTAGCTGTTATCCAGTCGTTTCCCGGTTTGCAATGCGCTTAAGATCCTTAGGCGTTTCGTTTTTGACATCACTAAGCCATTTGCATTCACACAACAGCTACATTCCCTAAAAAAAAACGCGAATGTGTGACAGCGAACTACCACCGGGCAGCAATGTTGAATAACAGCCACGGCACAATCAGCAATGACTCTCGTTAGCATCAGCAGCCAGTTACTGATCAGGGCAGAAGTACGTCATCGCCATAAAAGTAGCCCTCAAGCATCGGCTTGAGAGCGCGCGCAGATCATGCCGCTCTGTGAAGCACCGTGTCAGGCGCTTACGGTCCGGGGTACACCTCCTAAAGTGTATGGATCCTTCCAACGAGGGTCCGTGCACTCTACATGCTGGGAACGGCGATCAGCACGCTATTCATATGCTCCCTGCTCAACAGCATCGCCGTTGGCAAATTTGGCTGGCTGCATCCGGTTCCAGTGACAGGAACAGCTCCGACAAGGCTGGCTCCGCTTAGGTATACAATACAAATTCGCGAATGCCATATGTGAAGCGAGGTAACAATACGGAGCAGCATGCATACATGGAGGCGTTAGCGGATGTGAGGCAGGAGGGGCAGAACATCAGCGGTGCGAAGCCCCCGACATACAGCCGCAGTGAGGGCTGCTCGCCAACACTGACTTGTCGGCCAGAGCGCTCAAGTGGCTCAAAAGCGACAGAATGTCGTCAAGTCACGGGGTGGGAAACTGGATGTTCTAGTCTCGACCAATTCAGCGGGCACTGCATACAAAAGACCAGCTCGTGTCATGACATACTGCCACAAACTCTTGTTATGCTGCCAAAAGCTCTCCGAGATTTGTATGCCCGTAGTTTGACCACAGTTTGTCCGCGTGCAGTGCCACAGCATACAAGACCAGTCAGACTAGTGGCAAAGTGGTGCGATGAAACACTCCCGCTGTCGCCAAGCAAAAGGTCGTCGCATGCTGCATTATACCGCATGTTCGACGTAAAGCATACCACTCTCGGCCCAAAAACATGAATACAGCAGATGATTTCACATCACCCCACGAGGGATAAGCACGTCTGGTTACGGTCGGGCCAGTGAGATATTGCGCAGAGAACGCGTTTGTACTTGGCCCCAGCATAAAGTCCAGCGTGTTGTCCATTGCGACACTTTCTTGTGTTAAGGAGTGACAAATAGGGGGCGTCATCGGCGGACAGAGGCTGGGGACGAAGGGCGGCTACTTCTCCATCTGAAACCCCTTCGCTGTCTCTCCCTGGTAACAACGACAAAACCCCGTTATATCAATAGTTTGACCTCCGGAATCAACAGCCCTGCTTCCCCAAGCACCAGCCTGTTCCCCTTCCGAACTTGGCCCGTCCTTTCCGGCGTCAAATGTGATGACGTCCCCCGACAAAACACGACAGAGCTGAGTGGACTTCGTTGTAGCAGCTCCAACGACTCTGCACTTTAGAAACAATGACAAACTGAACAAAGGGAAGGCGTCACCAACAGAATCAAATGCGGAA